CGAAACTTGGAGTAAAAGCCTCCACAAAGTCGGTTTCACCTGAAAGGCAAGAGTCCTTCTCAGACTCCAGGGCCAGACGCCAGGGTACCCGGCGTCTGGACCTAGACGCCAAGGACCCTGGCGTCTGGCCCCTGGACTCCAGAAAACTTCCTTTTGCACTTTCCAAAAACCTTATGGGCTTTCCCCTTTGGCCCAAATAAAGTGTTCTCGTACCCAAACATTTCGGGAAACATCCGAAACCCCTTCCGGTGAATTCCAGAACCCTTCCGGAGACCTAACACTATTATCCCATATATCAATCTTTATCTCCGGACCATTCCAGAGTTCCTTGTCATGCCCGTGATCGTATCCTGGACTCCGAACAACATTCGGTCACCAACATATGTAACTCATATAATACTATATCATCAACGAACGTTAAGCGTGCGGACCCTATGGGTTCGAGAACTATATAGACATGACCGAGACACCTCTCTGGTCAATAACCAATAGTGGAACCTGGATGCCCATATTGGCTCCTACATATTCTACGAATATCTTTATCGGTCGAACCGCATAACAACATACGTTGTTCCCTTTGTCATCGGTATGTTACTTGCCCGAGATTCGATCGTCGGTATCTCAATACCTTGCTCAATCTCGTTACCGGCAAGTCTCTTTACTCGTTATGTAATGCGTCATCCCACAACTAACTCATTAGTCACATTGCTTGCAAGGCTTATAGTGACTTGCATTACCGAGAGGCCCAGAGATACCTCTCTGACAATCGGAGTGACAAATCTAATCTCGATCTATGCCAACTCAACAAGTACCATCGGAGACACCTGTAGAGCACCTTTATAATCACCCAGTTACGTTGTGACGTTTGGTAGCACACAAAGTGTTCCTCCGATAATCGGGAGTTGCATAATCTCATAGTCTTAGGAGCATGTATAAGTCGTGAAGAAAACAATAGCAGTAAACTAAAACGATCAAGTGCTAAGCTAACGGAATGGGTCAAGTCAATCACATCATTCTCCCAATGATGTTATCCCGTTTATCAAATGACAACTCATGTCTATGGTTAGGAAACCTTAACCATCTTTGATCAATGAGCTAGTCAAGTAGAGGCATACTAGTGACGCTTTATTTGTCTATGTATTCACACATGTATTATGTTTCCGGTGAATACAATTATAGCATGAATAATAAACATTTATCATGAATTAAGGAAATAAATAATAACTTTTTTATTGCCTCTAGGGCATATTTCCTTCAATATATATAAAGTAGGTATGTCCTCGGAGATACCAAATACTTACTGGAGAGGCCGGATACACTATAAAAAAATACACTTCCATGATGATACGTGTTTGTCACAGTAGGTTGCGTTTTTTGTCATGCATGTACATCCATGACAAATTTATGACAAAATCAAGATAGTCATATCTGTGCTGTCGTAGAAGTGTTCCATGACATTACTAAAATTATCATCACGGAAGTGTCCACTTCCGTGACGATAAATCGCGCATCACAGAAGTGCTTTCGTCAAGGGTCACCGACACGTGGCATCCACCATAACGGAACGCCGTTAAGCTATCGGGCCGGGTTTTGGATCCGATAACCCATTAACAACCCCGACCAATGGGGATTTTCCACGTGTAAAATCATCATTGGCTGGAGGAAACACGTGTCGACTCATCGTTGGGACAGATGTCATCCACTCATTGGACAGAAGCCGCCTATGATACGTGGACACGTGGCACGGCCCAACAGTGGCCCATTCCTGTGAAAAGGCCGGCCCGTTTGACTTGGTCAAAAGGTGGCGGGCCGACCCATGGAAAGCCTGTTAACGGCCTGTTCGCGTATAGCCCATTTACAGCCCGCTAACCTAAGGCCTGTTACGCCCTATCCGAATAAGGCCCAGTAGCGTCATCTGAGCCATCAAATATGATTCCAACCCGTTTTCACTTCTGGCCCATGTATGTCCCATGACGTCTTTCCGCCCATATGAAGCCCTTTGTAACTATTGGCCCATTAACGGCCCGTGTTGAAACTAGCCCGTAATGAACAGTGTATCACTTTACACCCATAAACGGCCCGTGGTGAAACTGGCCCGTAATGAACAGTGTATCACTTTATACCCATTCACGGCCCGTTATTCCATTGGGCCATTTCCAGCCCAAGTTATCTTTCGGCCTTCTGAGGGCCCATTTATTCTTGGGCTCATTTGCAGCATTCGGTTACTTATGGCCCATTACTGTCATTTTCTACTTGTGGGCCAAATTCAGCTAGTCGTTACAGTCGGCCCGTTTGTGGACCGTTAATCTGTTGGGCCATTTTCATAGCATCACCAAATACGGCCTATCAACGGCCTGCTATGGTCAGCCCATAAAACGTACGATTTCCATTAAAGGCCCGTGTACGGCCCATTAAAGGCCCGTACAATACCCATAAATGAGTCGGCCCTTAAAAGGCCCATGGATCCTACGAGACGTAGAAGGCCCATGATCCTACGAGACGTAGAAGGCCCATGGACCCGACGGCCCATTGAAGGCCCATGGGTCCGGCGGCCCATTGAAGGCACATGGGTCTGACGGCCGATTGAAGGCCCATGGGTCCGACGGCCCATACATGACCCATGGATCCACTACAAGAAATATGTCTACTTTTGACCACCACTATTGGTCACTGAATGGTCGTTGTTTTCCATTTGTGACTTTTTTGTGACCAAAAACAGAAGGTAAAAAGCTGGCAGTCGTAAACTGAAATTAACGACCTTCTTCGGGATAAGGTCGTAGACGTTTACGACCAAAACAAAAGGTCGTTGAACCCATGACTGGCCTTTTGTTTTGGTCACTGGCTGTCTGCCCAGTCCACGTCGTATCCGACGTGGCAATCTGACGTGGCAAAGTTGCGACCAATTGAAAAGGTCATTACTTAGATTCAACCTGGTCCATTTCGGTGCTTTAGATGGGCCGAGCCCAACAATTCAGCCTATTTATTGTTTTTTCATGTGAATTTTTGGTTGGCTGCATGGGCCTGGCCCAACAGACTTATTTTTTGGGCAACAACATTTTACAGTCCACAATTTTTTGGGCCTCAGCCTTTTTCCAGCCCATTTGTCAATTTTCTTTTGTCCTTCTCCATTTTAAAGTAGGTCCCACTAGTCAATTGGGAACCAATTACCACAGGTCAATACTATATTTGTGTAATTAGATAATTTGATTCAAAAAGAGCCAATAAGGCATAATATTTCATACAACAGCCAACCAGTACATTACAATCCTGTACACCCAAAACTAAGATAGTACATTACAACAGCCAAGCAAAGTACATAGTACAAATCTGGTATTCAGCTATAAAATACAGCTAAATATACACATAACTAGCTCCAGTGAGCTAAAACGCATTCTGGGTGTGGTTTTTCTTTGGGATTCGTCTTCCTACAGCTCATGTACACCCAACTTTTGAAGAATGAAGGCCAGCATCTGCAAATAATAAATTATGAAAAGGTAGAAAAATAATCAAGTGAATCCATGAATACAAAATTCTCATAACGATGAAAATTTGTTGCAAAACTTTAGATTTAACAGGAAACCATGCATATAAAAAAATTGTTGCAGAATTTTAGATTTAACAAGAAACCATGCATATAACATTCTCATAACAGCAAAATGTGAGATATATTTTGCAAACGATAAGTACCAGCACAGAACAAGTTAACAGACATTACAAGCTAACAGTGATTTTTCCAATGATTTTCCACTTTAGAACAAGGCACATGCATCCATTTTTATAGTCAGGAACAAAGAAGATAGTGCTGACTGGAATAGGCCAGAGAGATGACATAACTTGGGCAACCGAAAATGGTGAAATGATGATCTGCTTGTTCTTAGACAGCTTAATGAGCACCTGATATCAAAAAATAGTATTTTAAAGGAAAAAATAGGCTCCAATCAGCCTGCATACAAGTAATAAAACTGTTAGGGGAGTATACAGTTACCAACATCATGCATAAAACAACTTTGATGATGTAATATTTACTAAAAATGACAAGCCAGGTTTCAAGTATAAACCACTAATGGAGCATGCAACAAATGTACTTGATATCAACTTAACTAATTCCACATGAGTCTTGTACGTTCCAATATACATGATCAGTCCAAGATCAAGCTTATTCAGCAAATAAAGTAAAGAGGATCACCACCATAATGGACCAATGGGTACAAATCGACCAAAAAAATCCCAGTAGAAGCTAATGCACAAAAATATTCAACATTCCTCATAAGCATGCTGAATTAATCACATTTTTGTTCTAAAAAATGGAGAGAATAGATGTGCCTCATGAGTAATCCTATGAGATAACTAGAAGAAAAACAGTGAAGGGAATCTGTAGTATAATCCATTCAGAACAATACTCAAGCCAGTCAGGTTAAGCAACATATGCACGTGAGTTTGATCTTCAGGATTAATAGAACAAGACAGATAAATTAATGACTTTTCTGAAACTATAAGAGATAGTAGCACACATACTGTAACTATTCAACTTTTCAACTATAAGAGGCTATAGACTATCAAATAAAGAACATCAGTTACAGAACTCTGTATCAGGTAGGCAGTAAGCATGCTTAAAAATCACATGGACATACCTATACATATTTCCCATACTACATAAGTACTAAACAAACAAACAAGTGCTCACTTGAAAACCTTCCATGCACATGATAGTAGCTCTTCCCTCGTATCATAGAAAAAATATTTGCCAAGTAACATCAGACTGCTATTCACATACAGCAAGAGAACCTTCCACACAAACTCCCATTATTTTAACCCACGAGAGAAAAGAAAGGTCCTTATCATCAGGTACAAAAGCAGAAGCATTCAAACAACTAGAGAAGCACAACAGCAAAAGCATTGAAAGAGCAGCAGGCTTGGACTGTGACATGTCATATCTTATAAACTTAGGCAAGTATTCTCAGGTTATCCTTAACATCATGCACTAACTTGGGTAATTAGCATCAAACAATACATATCAAGACAAGGCTAGGCAAGATAATAAAGACTTGGGAAAATATAGCAGAGTTATAAAAAATGATATGTGCCCTTAAAGAGAGGGCAGTGTCAAGTGCAGCCACAGACATAGGCATTAGCCGCACCCATGACCCCTGGACACTCTCACAACCGAAGAGGAGGTGCCTTGCATATGGTCTCCTTCGAGTCTGCGAGAGAAAGAACGAGGTGAAGGTCAATACGCATCACACTCATCTGGTACAAGGAGATCATCAAAATGCATCACACTCATGATCATCAAAATGCAACAGCATGAACATGTAGCAGCAAATGAATATCCATACACAGAATAGCACGATTGGATAGCTTCAACTGCTTTGCAAGTACTTCAACGTACTATAACAACACAATGGCTTAACATGTCATGTTTCTTAAAGCCAGGATGTGGCACTAAACCAGCCAAATCGATTAATTAAAATTAGAAGATAAAATCTAACACTGCAAGAGCCTGTCCAAAGGTAGAACTATGACAGGAAAATTTGCTGGCGCAAGTTGATACAGGCGAGCATGTGGGAGAATAGATGTATGGCTACATGAACCTGAACATACGTAGTAGTCTATAAACATCCGATTGAAACTAGCAGGAACGTAATCTTGTACTAATGTACTCTGGGAAATACAGTAACAAATGCATGATTATAAAAAAAGCTCGACTGATAAAACAACTGCTATGCGTCAGGTGCCACAACAAGCAAAAGAAATTGAACACCCAAAAAGAATAACATCCTTGTTCTAGCAAATACAAAACAGAGAGAAGGCTGCAAAGGAAGATTTCTCAAAAAACAAGTAGCCATTTCTGCTAAGATGCAAATGGATATCAATACTTCACACAATGGCACAACAATTACAGCACAATAGCTTACTCCAGGTTCTTATTTAACTCAAGAGGTGGCACTAAACTAGCAAAGTAAATTTAAAAGGAATATGCAATCCAAAACTTTAGTACCTGCTGATTCCAAAGATAAAACTACTACATCATGTTAACTATTAGTATGGCTACAAACAACCTCTTACAGACATCAACTTCAATGTCATCAAGCAAGCAAATCGCTATGACTACATAAATAGAATCCTGAAGTAATACACTATGACAAGTAAAGATTAACAAAGCATAACAGAGTGCAAACAAAAATCATACAGTTCACATGTCACATAATTAGCAGGCATAGAATCATACATTTATTGTGATTAGCAGGCATAGAATCATATAGTTACCATCACTAGCAGGCATAGAATCATACAGTTACCATGACTAGCCGGCATATGATCTTATGGTGATGCACCATATCAAATACCAGTACATGCATTGAGCAAATACAAGTTTAGCCCACAATGAACAGGGGGCGCTAGGCAATCCAGTAGCAATGTCATATATAGGTAATAATAACAGGACCTTAGATAATTAGTTTTCGTTCTTACTTACACAAGTTGACAGAATGTACTCAATATATTCTAATAAAAAGGATTGGGAGCAGAGGGAGAGGGAGGTGGAGATGGACATGCTACCTGCTGCTGCGGTGGTGCCTCTTGGTGGTCGTGCTTGAGCTCCTCCTCCTGATGCTGCTCACTGACCTGCAGGCCAAACAAGACCATGCGTGAGCTGCAGCACAGGCACATACAAGAAGTGAAGGTAAGGAGAAGAACCTGGAAGAAGAGAGGTGCTCTGTCCTCCTTCGTCCGTGCCCGTCCTCCTCGTCCGTGCCTATGTCAAACAACCACCATTCATCGCTTGCGAGCACCATGCGCCTTGGTTGGCCATGAAGCTCTTGTCCTCTGCTGCACGGATGAAACCCAAAGCATCAGTACAGCTACACTGGCACATAGTACAGACATGGTATTATAGACATTCTATAATTTACTAGCACCCAAATATATATACATGTGCAAATGTTGTTTGAAGATTTGTATCTACAGAATGTTGTGTGGAAATTGTTATTGCTGTAGATGAATCCTATATATTATTGTATATATACTCACTGAGTTACAATAGTTGTGGTGCAGTGTGCAGGTTATAAGATGCCACGTGCAAATTCTTATCTCTATAGGTGATTCTCAATAATTATAACAAAGAAAGGTTAGTAAGTGTTGGTCTCCATCTCCAATATATCTGTTGGATTTTAATTCAAATCTTTTCCTAGGTGGCAATATGAGTTAACATATTACCTGGAGGTCGTCCTGAATTTAGGATACAGAGCTGCATTTCTTTCAATTAATAAAAGGACCTATTATATGCAGATCATCGTCGAAAACTGACTACGGTACAACATCGTCGAGAACAGATCATCAAAAGCAAAATGGAGGAGCAGGGTACTTTACTCTCTGATGATGGTATATTGACATGGGCCGTTAGTCTAGTCATGGAGGAGAAATGTAAAAAAATCAGTAAACATGCTAGTGCTCTGCATAGTGTTGCTCCATAGCTCAACTGAACTTTAGAAAAAAGTAAGACAAAGAAAGTACAGTTCGTGACTTGAGAGGCCAGGATTCAGGGTAAAAACGACTGACCCAAGAGACCAGAGTCTCGTCGTCCTTGTTGGGCTCGTCGGCCAGGATCGGTCTCTTGTCGGTGATGATCTCCAGAAGCACGAGGCCGAAGGAGAAGACGTCGGACCGGTCGGTTATTTTCCTGGTGTTGGTGTACTCCGGCACCATGTACGTGCCAAACCAGTCAATGCCATTGGGTGCGTTTTATTCAGGTCAGGAACAGGTAAACGTAACGGCAAGGAAATTGGAATGCTAGGCTTACCCAAAAGTCCCCATCACCCGGGTAGAAACATGGTTGTCATCTCCATGCTGGATCTTGACCAGCCCAAAGTCGGCAACTTGCACGAGACAGAAAAGCTCGATCATAATCAGAGATGAACATTCAGAATATATCTTCCAACCAAACAACATGATCCCGTCATGCATTTTTACCTTGGGCTCAAAGTTGTCATCGAGAAGGATGTTGGCCGCCTTGATGTCGCGATGGATGACCTTAGAATGACCTGACAAGATACATTTAATCGAGGCCAGTTATGCAGTGCAACAGTGCATCGTCAGTCAGTCATACAAGTTCACATCAAAATCAATGGAGACATCCAGCGACTTACAGTCCTCTTGCAGGTATGGCACGCCCTTGGCCGCCACGAGCTTGATCCGCCACCTGCGCTCCAAGTCCACCAGCGTCGGCCCGTCGCCGTCGTGGTGCAGCCGATCTCCATCTCGCCGATTAACGCAGGCGACGCTTGCCCTCCATCTCGCCGATCTCCAAGTCCTTGCGGTCCTCGACCTCCTGGGGTGCGGGGATGAGGTCGGGGTGTGCAGAGGATGTGGCTGATGGATGTGCGCCAGAAGGCGCATCCCCGCGCGCCGACGCCGGACTGGGCGACGTAGTAGAAGCCCGTGGCGCAGGGGATGAGGCCGTGCGACGAGGCGCGGATCCAGCTCGACAACGTTGCGGACCCAGAAGGCCCGCTATGGTGGTGGCGGATCTGGTCACGGACTGGCCTCGTCGGCCCGATCTGGTGCCATGGGAGAGAGGGAGAGGTGCGGTACAGAGTGGTGGCCGGGGAAGGATCGACGGCGGTGGGGGTGAGAGGAGGACGGCAGGATTCCTGCCTGAGGTTGCCAGGATCGGGCACCGGAGGCGGCGGCGGCAAGGGAGGGGTGCAGAGCAAGGGTTCGCGCGAGAGAGAGGAGGTCACGAGGGATGGGGTTGACTGGGG